GCATGCAGCTTTAATCATATGTGCTGTCCTGTATGCATGCAGCTTTAATCATATGTGCTGTCCTGTATGCATGCAGCTTTAATCATATGTGCTGTCCTGTATGCATGCAGCTTTAATCATATGTGGGCAGCACATGTAGCTTTACTAGTCTAGGCTATATCACAATTTAAAATTTAATGGTTTTGTTTTTACTAACATTTTTAGTTAAATCGTCAAATCGAGATTGTTCGTGATGATACAGTTGATGCCAACCTTAGTACCACAGATGAAAGTGATTCTGAAAATACAGATACATTATTCTCAAAGAGAAGGTAATTTGTTATTATTGTTATATGCTACTCTGCTTAAGCCATGATAATCACGGCACAACAAAGGCATTCCCATCATTTTTATCAATATTTCCCAATTCATAATAAAATGAGAGGTTTTTATCGATAAATTGAATAATGTAAAGACAATAAAATTGAAATTGTTATACAATGTGCTGGTTGAATTCAACTGTTGTGGGAAATTGGATTTTTGGACGTAATATTCTTTATAATACCAGCAGTCCAGCAGTCAGACAAGACAAATACTTTCAAGAGTAGAACACAAGTTGTTTATTCGTGAACATAACATAGAAGCGCCCTGAAACAATTACAATGGATGCTTATATACCCTCGTGGGGATTCTGAATTTGAGCGGGGAAACTTAGATACAAATATACAATACTGTGATTGATCAATACAAATATTGTGGTGTTGCCTCTCACGTTCGCTCATAACACAGTGTTCAAGGTCATATCCCGTTTTGTTACATTCAAGCTTAGGCGATATAAACGATGTATATAGCAGTATAATAATATAAAACGATACACAATATCAGTAATAATAGTAAACAATAATTCTATCCATATCTATTTCCGACAACTGTCATTGAAATGTTTAAATATTTATAAAGATGAAGAAAATATGAATGGCTGTGATTGCAATCAATGCATTTGCAATAGTATCACATTTTCCCCATCTGAAACTGATGACTATTAATTAAGCTTCCATCCACCAATGTTTGTGTCTACCTCTTCATGATATTTTTGGTCTGATTTCATTTTTTCCTCAAGTCTTCATTTTTAAAGTAATATCAGCAGCTATTTGTTGGACATTCTTAAGACAATGATGCACATCTTTCATTCATTGATGTATGAATTCTATTCTATTCTATTCTATTCTATTCTATTCTATTCTATTCTATTCTATTCTATTCTATTCTATTCTATTCTATTCTATTCTATTCTATTCTATTCTATTCTAGGCATATTATGAAAGAGTTGATTGATACTGAGAGGTTTTACGTCAAAGAACTATTAAGTATAATTGAAGGCTATGAGTATCAGATGGATAATTATGAATTGCAACATTTAATACCGCCATTATTAATCGGAAAAAGGGATGTACTGTTTGCAAATTTAGAAGATATTCATGAATTCCACAGAAGGTAGGTTATATTGTCATCTATGGAGTATATTTGTAAATTCTTCTGAAGGTAGATTTTATACTGTCATCTATGGGGTATATTTGTAAATTTTTCTGAAGGTAGATTTCATACTGTCATCTATGGGGTATATTTGTAAATTCTTCTGAAATAAGATTTTATACTGTCATCTATGAGGTATATTTGTAAATTCTTCTGAAGGTAGATTTTATACTGTCATCTATGGGGTATATTTGTAAATTCTTCTGAAGGTAGATTTTATATTGTCATCTATGGGGTATATTTGTAAATTCTTCTGAAGGTAGATTTTATACTGTCATCTATAGGGTATATTTGTAAATTCTTCTGAAGGTAGATTTTATACTGTCATCTATAGGGTATATTTGTAAATTCTTCTGAAGGTAGATTTTATATTGTCATCTATGGGGTATATTTGGAAATTCTTCTGAAGGTAGATTTTATACTGTCATCTATAGGGTATATTTGTAAATTCTTCTGAAGGTAGATTTTATACTGTCATCTATAGGGTATATTTGTAAATTCTTCTGAAGGTAGATTTTATACTGTCATCTATGGGGTATATTTGTAAGTTTTTCTGAAGATAGATTTTATACTGTCATCTATGGGGTATATTTGTAAATTCTTCTGAAGGTAGATTTTATACTGTCATCTATGGGGTATATTTGTAAATTCTTCTGAAGGTAGATTTTACACTGTTATCTATGGGGTATATTTGTGAATTCCACAGGGGGTAAGTTTTAGGTTGTTATACTATGTACACAGTGAATTCACAGTCTGATCATATTTTGTCTTTTTTCAGTATATTTCTTGTGGATCTTGAAAACTGTAGAGACACGCCACCATTAGTCGGTAGATGCTTTGTATCAAGGGTGAGTATGTTTATAATTTATATTAGTCATCAATCATCATGGTTACTTATTTCTGAAGTCGTACATTTAAAATATTTAGCAATGATATATACATTTCATGTATTTCAATTTTTGTTTTTATTACAGAAAAATGAATTAGATAAGTTATATAGCATTTATTGTCAGAATAAACCACAGTCTGAAATACTTAGGCGTGAATGTGGCAATGACAATGATTTTTTTAAGGTGAGAAAAAACACTGAATTATTTGCAATTCACATTTGATCATGACTGACTATATTATGATTAACTGAATATAATATTAACTGACTACAATAACAGTTAACTGTCTATATTACTAACTGCATGTCTAGACTAACAGTAACTGACTACACTAATAGTAACTAACTATACTAATATTAACTAAATACTAATATTATATTAACTGACTATACCAGTACTAACAGTTAACTACTGTACTATTACTTGAATACAATATCGGTAACTAACTATACTAATATTAACTAAATACTAGTATTATATTAACTGACTATACTAACAGTTAACTACTGTACTATTACTTGAATACAATATCAGTAACTAACTATACTAATATTAACTAAATACTAGTATTATATTAACTGACTATACTAACAGTTAACTACTGTACTATTACATGAATACAATATCAGTAACTAACTATACTAATATTAACTGACTACATTTATAGTAGCTATATTTATATTAACTGACTACACTTATTGTTACACTAATAGTAGCCGATAAAACTAATTAAAACTAATTATAACTAATATTAACTGAATATTTATTCCATATCTACCTTCCTAAGGAATGTCAACAAAGACTAAACCATAGATTGCCACTGAGTGCCTATTTATTGAAGCCTGTACAAAGAATAACAAAATATCAACTATTACTCAAGGTTTGTATGATTACCATCACTCTTAGGTGAATATGACATATCATCATTTGTATTCTTAATCATGTTTTGTATTCACGGTATAGTCAGGGCCTGTAATATTGTGTCTTTGTGGTCATAGGATTTATTTTTATCTTGACACTAGTTTTACTTCCTCTTGTGTTTATTTCAGGAAATGTTGAAATATTCTCACAATGAAGAAGGTTATGAAGCTTTACAGGAAGCATTAGATTCAATGTTACATGTACTTAAATATGTAAATGATTCTATGCATCAGTTACGAATCACTGGCTTTGAGGTAAGTCTATCATATTGGAATTCATGTATACTAATATGGTAGGATGAAAATACCCAGTGCAATACCATAACATTACGGCATGCTGTAACTTATGGCAATAGATATATAATAATAACCATTATTTAAACTTGATAGTCTTTTGTCTTTCTACCGGAAAGTAAATCTCCAATTGAGTAAAATTTTCCTCTGATTATATTTTTAAAAAAATGTCCTGTGCCTAGATACAATGCATAAGTAGAAGCTGACTGTGTAGCTCTGGAACTCAGAAAAAGAAAGTTATTTATATAAATGGGTGCTTATAAAGTAACACAGTCTCAGTAAAATAGTTTTTTGAGGGTCATGTAAACAGCATTAAGTATTTTGCATGCAATTCTTGCATGTAATATTAAAATCTGTTTTTTAATTACTCATAAAATTGTACCCATACTGGGCAATAATAATATAAGAATGGCACTATTTAAATAATAACACATGCTTGTGAGGGTAATATCACTATTTGTTGCCTGCCCAAAGGATGGTGGTCATGACCATAATATTGTATTATTGTCATGAACAACAGCCCGAGGGCAGACAACAAATAATGATATTGCCCGAATAACCATGTGTTATTTATTTTATCACATCGAACAGACATCCACCTTGACAATCACAGCTACCATACATCACTCACACCCGCTCTCTCACAAAATAACAACACTTCTATTTGAAGTATGCAATATTTTATTTTATCTATTATAACAAGTTTCACATTACTCAATAACATATATACATTGTTTTCTGAAAAAAACAACAAAATACACTCAGTAAATGTTATTTTCAGCCATGGATAGTCTTTTTATTTGAACCGTGTTTTAGCAGTGTGAATCCCTCAAATTATCAAGAATTATATTTTTGAAATGAATTGAGAAATTCTCAAACGCAAGTTATTTGATCACTCTACAGATAAAAATGTCAGAGTGCCGTGGAAGTGACTGAAATTACTTTCTCACAAACATACCACACCTATTCACAAGCCACACAGCTTTAGAGTGTTTTCGGTTAGCATCGGCGTGGAACACGTAGAAATGCTCACAGCGTAGAACGCGCTGCACGTTCACTGTCTATTTCGAATGGCTAAAGTTCCTTTAAAATCTTGAAAACAACAGCGGTCGGGGCAGCCCCAGTGCAGAGAACGACAATTTGTTATGCGCAGTGTCATTGCACAGTAGTTTAAATGACGTCATCCATGTGATATTTCTATGTAATATCCACTTGGCGGGCAATATACCATGTAATATCCATTTTTATTCAATGTCATGTGACCGAGTCTCAACCAATCACAGCATGCGTAACAACAGTGAGATGTGATAAAAAAGTAATCAAAACAAATTTGCAAGGTAGATAGTTCTTCAGTTTCTTCAACTTGATGATGTTGGAGAGTTGTTCATCCCATTTGAGATCTTCAAAAATCTTGACTCCCAACATCTTCTCACAATGGACTGTATATATTTCATAGTGGTCTAATTAAGTGTGTTTCATGTGAGTTGTAATCAACATTGTTTAACTTTTACAGCTAATATAAACATTTTGTTTTCACAACACCACATTGGATATTCTAGGAATAAACCTGCTAAAAGAACCACTGAATCATCAGTATACATATGTAAATTGCTGTCGTTTTCACAACACTGTAAATAATTAATTATGAATTAATTTTATATTGCAGGGGAATCTCTCAGAACAAGGCAAACTCTTGATGCAAGGATCCTTCAGTGTTTGGGTTGAACATAAGAAGAATAACATTCGAGATATAAGATTCAAACCAATGCAAAGACATTTATTCCTCTATGAAAAGTTATTTTTGTTTTGTAAACGACGAGAAGATGAAGGACCGTTTGATAAAACAACGTACAGTTATAAAAACTTCATCAAGGTATATTACGTTCTTATTCTGCATGCATTCTATTGTTCTCAACTGTCTTTTTTAGGGTTTATGAATTGAGTCGTGTCCGTACGTCCGTGTGTGTATGTGTGCATATATGGATTACTAGCTTTTTCTCACACATGTGTGATCTAATTCAGTTCAGAGTTGGTACAGAAACAGACATTGATGACGTACAGGTAAACATCAAGTTATTTTTTGATTGAATAAGTTTTGAGTGGTTGGTGGCTATTTTTGTCTCCAAAAATCTATAAAAAAAACGTTTCCTAGTAGTTACCAGTTCTTTCTCAGATATGTGTCATCCAGTTTTGTTCAAAGTTGGTACACAGACAGGTAATAAGGGTTTACAAATGCACATCAAGTTATATGTTGATCAAATTATTTATTTAGCTTTTCTGAGACAATTTATATTTTTTTACCCCATCCCCCCTAAAATTGTTCCACATCAATTCTGAACAATTAATAACGGAATTTTAGTACAGCTCACAATGAATAAATTCACTCTGACACAAATCCAGTTCAATATCAGTTTTAAATTGTTTTCTGAGCGGGGGTTATGACATGACATGACATGTCTTGTTTTACTGGGAATGCATACATGCCTCTGACAATTTTATTTTTATGTGCACACTTTCTACTTATCTAGTGTTCCACCACCACCAGGTTTTTTAACATCACTGTATATTCGCCTCAGAATAGACCAGTCATAGTGATTTTTTGTTGAACCAAGATTTAAAAGAAAAGACTTATTATAAAAATATATAAACAAGAAAATTACTATGGCTGGGCCAGTCCAGCAACCGGGAATCTGGTTATTTAATATATCAAGTAATTTTAAAATTAATTAATTTTGAAGAACTCAGTGGAACCCTTATTTGTAATGAACCATATTTTTTTCTATCAGAGGCAAATAAGCGCATGTAAATGGCAGTTGTATGTCTGTGGTCTAGCAAGTCGTATTTTAATCCTGTATTCAATGGATATAATTTGTTTGCATTACTGATATCACTTCTTCTAGTGCAAATATGGTATTTAGTTGACTTTTCTTTTTTGTTAATAATTGAATTTTCATTTGTTTAGATGTGTGATGTTGGAATGACTGAAAATATCAAATCTGATAAAAGAAAATTTGAATTGTGGTTACATGGAAGAAGTGAAGTCTATGTAATACAGGTACATGTATAACTTTACTTGGCCATTCAATACCATGGTTGGCCATCCAATACCATGGTTGGCCATCCAATACCATGGTTGGCCATTAAATACCATGGTTGGCCATCCAATACCATGATTTAAACTGGTACATTGACTGAACCAAAACAAAGTCTTTGACTACCATGGGTGGCCATCCAATGCT